ACTCGTCGTAGTGTTCCGCGTGAGCGTCTTCCTCCTGTCCTTGGCACTCACTATATGACTCTGCGTCCTTCCACTGCTCCACAGCGCGTCCCTCTGCCGTCTCCTCCTGCGTCCTCTCTTCCTGATGTTGCCGACCCGCCGTCAGACCTTACTCGTGCTGCCAGTCCTACTGTCGCGCGTCTCCTTGCCACTGTTGTCACTGACCCTACCTTTGAGTCCTCTACTGCGTCTGCTCTAGTCGCTGAGCTTGTGGACTTTGTTGCCGCCTGTCGTCTAGACTACGCCGCTAGCCTTGTTGCTGAGTCAGAGTCTGTCTGTCCTCCGTCTGTCGGGGGTGAGTGTGCTCTTGGCACGAACGTCCTTGAGGACAGACAGGAGGAGTTTGAGTGCTTTGCTGCTGCTTTACCTCATCTCGTGTCCATGCTGATTGCCCCTGAGGGAGACCCGGATGCACCAGACATCCCGACCCCACGCTCCTACGCAGAGGCGATGGAGGGTCTCTACTCCTCTCAGTGGCAGACAGCCATGGACGCAGACATGGCTTCCTGGAAGTCCACAGGCACCTACGTCGACGAGGTTCCCCCACCTGGGGCGAACATCGTCAGTGGCATGTGGATTTTCAGGGTGAAGCGGCCGCCGGGTTCTCCGCCTGTCTTCAAGGCGCGTTACGTTGCACGAGGCTTCAGTCAGCGAGAGGGAGTTGACTTCTTCCAGACCTTCTCCCCGACCCCGAAGATGACCACTCTTCGGGTTCTGCTGCACGTCGCTCCTCAGCGTGACTACGAGCTCCACTGCCTTGACTTCAGCACTGCGTTCCTACAGGGCACCCTGCACGAGGAGATCTGGCTGCGCCGCCCACCTGGCTTCACTGGGTCGTTCCCTCCTGGTACCCAGTGGAGCCTCCGGCGGCCAGTCTACGGTCTCCGCCAGGCACCCCGTGAGTGGCACGACACACTGAGGACTACTCTTGCTTCTCTTGGGTTTGCTCCTTCTACTGCTGACCCGTCGCTGTTTCTACGCACCGACACCACTCTGCCGCCGTTCTACGTTCTCGTGTACGTAGACGACTTGGTCTTTGCTACTGCTGACACTGAGGCACTCGCCCACGTGAAGTCGGAGCTGCAGAAGAGACACACGTGCACAGACCTGGGTGAGCTGACAAGCTATCTTGGCTTGCGGATCACCCGGGACAGAGCACAGCGCACCATCACCTTGACTCAGTCACACATGGTGCAGCAGGTCCTTCAGCGCTTCCGCTTCACGTACTCCTCGCCTCAGCCCACTCCTCTGCCTACCGGTCACTCGCTCTCAGCTCTGCCTTCGGATGAGTCCGTAGAGCCGAGTGGCCCGTATCCAGAGCTTGTGGGCTGCCTCATGTACCTGATGACCTGCACTCGACCTGACCTCGCATACCCTCTTAGCATCCTAGCACGCTATGTCGCTCCTGGCCGTCACCGGAAGGAGCACATGGATGCAGCTAAGAGGGTGTTGCGCTACTTGTGCAGTACGTCGGGCATGGGGCTTGTGCTTGGAGGACGGCGCGACGTTGTCCTCACTGGACACTCAGACGCTTCTTGGGCTGACGACCAGGCTACTCAGCGGTCGTCTCAGGGTTACACCTTCAGCCTTGGCTCTGGCTCTGTTTCTTGGCGTTCTACACGTTCGTCTTCATTTCTCAGCTCCAGTTGTGAGGCTGAGATCTACGCCACAGCCATGGCCGCACAGGAGCTACGCTGGCTCACCTACCTGCTGACCGACCTGGGAGAGCGGCCTCGTTCTCCTCCAGTGCTGTACGTCGACAACAAGGCCGCCCTTGCCTTGTGTCGGGAGCACAGACTGGAGCACAGAACGAAGCACATCGCTCTGCGCTACTTCCTTGCTCAAGAGCTGCAGCAGCGTGGTCAGCTTTGTCTTACCTACGTGGCCACTCGGGCCAACACTGCTGATGTGTTCACCAAGGCGCTTCAGCCTTGTGACCATCAGCATTTCTGTACTGTTCTAGGCCTTGTGCCTACTCTCCCTCACCTGCTTACTTCTTAACTCTGCTTGTACTGTGATCTCTCTATATATACCTGCATGCTTACACTTGCTAGGTTGTGATCACTGTACCTCTTGTTATATTATCAAACTGCATGTGAACTGGTCTTGTGACCACTTGCTTGTGCTCGGAATTTGTGTGGTATCCTTGAGATCCACCCTGAGCTTGTCTTGCTTTGCTTTGACTGGTCCTGTGACCCCTTGTTCTCCCCCACTTAGCCTATGGGGGTGTGTCAAACATTGTATGTGTTATATTTGTGTAGGCTATTGTGGGTTAGCCTCTAGGGGGTACACAACTCTAGGTTTGTCATACTTGTACTCTCATTCTCTTGCTAGTCCATCATTCTCGTTCTTACATTCTAACAGAATTGAACAGCTTTCATCTTCGTCTTAGCCTTTCGCACTTTTAATTTCCCGGATAGAAAGCCTGTTGTCGTCTCCCAGTCCAGCTCCGCCTTCACCCCGAGCCACTCTTGCAGCTTCTCTTGGTGGATTTTTCATACGCGTCAAGCAACTCCTCTTTTTTAAGCAGGATTGCTCCCGTCCGCTGACAGTTCGAGTTCTGCGACAGCCGCTACCGGAAGATCCTCACCTCCTTCTCCAGGCGTCTTTTGGTCACCCCGACTCTCTTTCTTTCCTCCCGTGTGTACGCCCGCAGTCACGCCGTCAACCTGGGCAACAGCACACCAAGGTCTCCGCCCGCGTCCTTGAGCACTTGCTCCACCCGATTCCTGACCCCTCTCTTTTTCGCCTGTGCAGCTCTTAAACGCCAGATGCCGGGTCCCCTATCGATCGCCGCCGACGACTCAGCACAACCATCACCGCGTTCTAGTGATCTGTCATTTTGTTCGTTATGTCTGCATGCCGCACCTCCTCTAGCTTGCACAGCAGCGGCTGCGACACCAGCACGCGATCGATCCTGGTGCTCACCCCCTTTGCTCTCATATGAAAAGTGTACTCCCTTTTTCCAAGTTGCATAAAACGGAAGGCGTCAGTAAGCGGGGTCTTCGCCCAGTAGCCCAACAGCTTCATCTCCACGCCCAATGTTGGGCTCTGCTACTCCACCATCCCAACCGCATCCTTCAACCTCATCGGCTACGTGGACGCTGATCATGCCGCCGATCCCGACAATCGACGGTCCAGGACAGGCTTCCTCTTTTGCCTCGAGCCCAGCGGCCCCATCTCCTGGAATTCACAAAAGCAGGAGTTGGTTGCCCTGTCGTCGACGGAAGCAGAGTTCATCGCAGCAACAGCAGCTGTTCACGAGGGTCTCTACCTTCAAGAAGTGCTGCAAGAGGCAAAAATTCCAGCTTCGGCGAACTTCCGCCTGCACTGCGACAACCAGAGTGCGATCAGAATCGCGAAGAAACCTGGATTCGTTAACCGCACCAAGCACATCGCGCTACGGTACTTCTTCGTCAAGGACGAAGCTGACAAGGGCAAGGTTGACCTAACCTACTGCCCGACGGGTGACATGGTAGCGGATTTCCTCACGAAGAAACTGCCGCGTCAGCAGTACCAGCACTGCTCCGAACTCAGCGGGGTAGTCAAGCGGGTCAAGACCTGCTACGGCCAGGAGTGAAGGGGGGTGTTACGAAAAGTGGAAAATGAATTAACTACTGTGCACTCCTTACCGTAGCAATCGAAGCATGCAGTACCGAGGCTGAAGACGAAAGGGCGGATGTGACACGAAGGGTCACACGGTTACGAAAGCATCTGGACCGTCGGGCAGACAGCATCAGGCAGCAGCAGTGGCGAGGATTCTGCCCGTACAGTTTCGTAACTGTCTGGAGTCGCATGGTTGGAATTCGCTGTAATAAGGGAATGTACCCCTTAGAGTACATGGCTTGCTAGGTCGATTGGTATTCCCCTGTACTCTTCTTTATAGTGTTGTATTTGCATGTTTTTATCATCTCAAGCATTTACATTCACTCTGCTATTGAGGTCAAGGGCCCACCACCACTAGTTAGTCCTGTGCGAACCTTCCTGAGGTGATCCTGAGTTCAATCAACTTCTGATCGCAGCACGTACCAATCGCATGATCACGCCAAGCGGAGGGGACATGATCGTGGGGACACGATCGTGGCGACCAATATGGTGAGTTCGTTAGAATTTTAACGAGACAGGGATACAATCGTGGTGCTGTACACCCCACACATCGATCCTGTAACGCAACCTCACTTGTGATCTCTTAGGGGGGTTTTTTTGAAATGCTCGAGCCGCTTTCTGATTGGTTCAGAACGCCTATGACAGATCGAGGTATCGTTGCTGAAATTCCGGTGCGCGAAGACATGTGTGATTCTCGCGAAGGCCCTCCCATCCATTACCGTCGTGATCGTCGCCTATTACTCCGTGCAGCATTTCCTATTGGCTGTGTATTACATCGCGGCAAAAGATGTTCGCACGGCATCGTAGACAGCGACCTTATCGTCTGGTCAGTCATTAGGGAGTGGAGCCTTTTTCTCGAATATCGTCACTTCCGCCACGCCAACCACACACCCTCCCCGCACGCGAACACATCCCGCTCCCCCCAATCCAGATACTCCCCCTCCCCGTCCGAGTGCCCCACAAACATCCTCCGTGCAACATCTGCGGGGAAAGGAGGCAACATCTCCTCGCCATCACTCCACAGCTGGTTAGTTGGGTAACGCGAGGCGAAGCACCTGAGGGAAACCCTAGGGTTAGCCCGTAACTTGACAAGCCAGGCGCCCTTGGTAACTGCAGATACAACACTCCTACAGATATCTTGCTTCCTCCCAACTCCGCGTTTCTTGGTAACCGCTCGTTTTCCCTCGTAGTTTCCCACTGTCGCAGTTGCTCGCTGTCAGCGCATCTTCTGGAGCAACGAATCCTCACTCGCAATCTGCATCTCCAACCACGTAACTTTAGTTACCGGATCACTCAATAATTTCCCCTCCAGCAGCAGCCGTTTTCTGGATTCAACTTTACGAACCGCGCGTCGAATGGACCCATCTCAGTACGCGGGCATCAGAATGGATCCCAACGCCGCCATGGGCGGCAACGCGGGCATTCTAACCGCGACCATGCGGCGGAAGGGCGATTACCACAAGCGCGCGGACGGCAAGCAAGCGGTGGTGCGGCTGTCGCCCGCGCTGTTCGCGCTGATCGAGGGTCTCAAGGAGTGCATGTCGCTGGCGAGCGGCGGCATCACGGTCACCAAGATGGACGTCGTCTCCTTCTTCCTCGAGGCCGCTTACTCCGAGATCGACCGCCTCTTCGCGCCGCGCCGAGCCATGCCCGGCTGGATGGAGCGCGAGACGGCGCTGCGCGGAGCGTGGGAGGCGGAGCTCGAGAATCGCCGCAAGGCGGGCGTCGTCGGCCCGCTGCACCCGCCCGCGCGGCCGTTGCGCTTCGCGCCCGCGTCCGTGAGTCCGTCCATGGGGCGCGACGGCGTGGCGGACGACACGCTCCCCGTCGCCTACACCACCGTCTTCGCCGCCGAGCGCGCGGCGGGCGCTCTGGGCGCCGCTCATGGCGGGGAGGCGGCGAGTGCGCCTGTGGGCCCCACGTCGGGCCTCGGATCGCGCGGGCGGCACAAGTGGGGGCGGAAGAACTGGTATGCGGGGATGTCCGGGCGCGGCAGTGGCGCGGGGATGCAGCACGCCGTCGCCGTGCCCGTGGCGGAGTACGACCCCAGCGGAGCCGGCGCCGCCGCCATGCTGGCGCCACCCGCCGTGGGGTCGGAGATGGTGGTTCACCCGGGCATCACTCTCGAGCCCACCGGATCCTTCTCCGCCACTGCGGCCGCGGCGGGGGGGCACGGCGCGCAGATCGGCGCAGCGAACGCGGCGGGCGGCATGGGCGCGGTGGACACGCGCGCTGACGCCGTTGGGTACGGTGCGGTTGCCGCCGCGGGGCAAGGGCGGCAGGGGCGGCGGCAGCTGGCGTGGACGCAGCCGAACGCGGCGCGGAACCGACACGCGTGGCTGCGCGAGGCGATGCGCAGCGCGGAGGTGGCGGCGGCGCAGGAGCAGCCGATGGTGTGGGACAAGGTGGCGATGAGCGGCGCGGGTGGGGCGGGGGAGGTGGGAGACAGCGGCGGTGGTGCTCCAGGAGAGGGTGAGGGGACGTCCGCGGGTGAGGGGGTGGCGGGGCACGGGGAAGAGGCGGGGGGCGACGGTGGTGGCGCAATCGAGCAGGCGAACGCACTAGGTGAAGGAGTGGAAGGAGGGGTTACTGGGGAGGGGATGGTTGGGGCGAAGAGGAAGGTGGAGGAGGTGGAGGTGGGGGAAGAGGAAGAGCAGGCGCACAAGAGGCAGGCACAGCAAGAGGAGGATGAAGCGGATGGCGGGCAGATGCAGCACGAGGAGGCAGAGACTGTGGCGAGTGGCCTGGCAGGTGAAGGAGGGGGTGGCGCTGGTGAGCGTGGCGAGGCAGAGGAGGGCGGGAATGAAGGGATGGGAGGTGATGCAGGCGACGATAACAGGGGAGGGCATGGGGAGACGGACCCTGAGATGGAACATGGGGCTGCTGTGGCGGTGGTTGAGGAAGACGGGCAGAGGGAGAGCGAGCCATATGCTGACGACTTTGTCGCTGCTGCTGTTGAGGCTGCGGCGGCTGCTGCGGCCTCTGCTGCTGCTGATACTGATGATGATGCTGGCCCTGCTGCTGACGATGCTGCCGATGCTGCTGACACTGTGCCTGAGGGGCACGCGGAAGATGCTGCTCCCACACAGGTTGTACAGGCCGCAGAGCCCGCAGAGGCCGCAGAGCCCGCAGAGGGTGCAGAGGGTGCTGAAGCTGTGGCAGGGGAAGCGACTGATGCTGCTGCTGAAGTGGTGGGGGAAGAGCAGGCAGGAGGCGAGGAAGCAGCACCTGTGGAAGCGGATGCAGCAGCAGGGGAAGGTGAAGATGACGAGTGAGGGCTCTACTCAACTCCACCTTCTCCTGCTCATAGTGGCAGGAATCTGGGATGGGCATGGGCTTGATATCATGTCAGGCACACGTGGAGGTTGTGTTAGTGCTGGCATGATGATGGGGTTTGCTGGTAGTTGCGGAGAGGGGATGGTAGAAGGGTCAGGTAAGGACCCAAATTGGGATAACGACAATCTTGTGAAGGCTGCAGTGGGGTGTGTTGATAGGGTGGAAGAAATCTCTCATGTAGCTAATTTAGGGCCTTCATTTGGATATGGTGTGATCCATAAGCTAGACATTGATTCTCAAAGAAACAGAATAATTTACACAATGACTTCTGTGTAGGTTCTGATTGCAACGACAAGAGACTTGCCCCAACGACCTTCCAGATGAGTCGAACCTTCCATATTTGTAGGCATGTATGGTGTTACACACAAGGAATCGCACATCCCAAGTGCCATGCAACCACTCCCACTGGCTCCTCGCTCCCCATGCCTGCTCTCTCCACGAGCAAGTCTCCCCTTTGAACAGCTCCTGAATCAGCGCCAGCATGAGCGTCAGGAGCGGAAGAGGCATGAGTGGCAGCAGCACCAGAGGCAGTGTCAGCACTGGCAGACGCAGCGGGAGCAGCAGAGGCGAGGGCAGGCAAGGGGCGGATGGCAGGCGGCAGCAGGTGGCGGGAGGGATGGTGCAGCGCGATGATGCGATGGCACGCGCTGTGGTGCGCGCATGGGATGAGCAGGTTGGGGAGGCGGTGGGGAAAAGAGAGAAAATGTGGATGAGACAAAACCCCCGTCAGCACAGACAGAACAAGGCAGAAAGTAGGGGAGAGCAGCAGTGTTTGCAGCACAGGGGCTGAGGGAAGGGGGTATGGGAGGCAGACGGAAATGAGTGGAAGGATGGTGGAGGGTGACAGTGGATAGGCATGGGTTAGAGAACAACTAACGCGGTAGTGACTGCTTGGTGCATGCACGCAGAGAGGGAGCGTACAGGGAAAACAGAAACACGTGCACACTTGCACAACCGCCACTCCTGCACTCCCTTACCTGCACTGCCTTACCTGCACTGCCTTACCTGCACTGCCTTACCTGCACTGCCTTACCTGCACTGCCTTACCTGCACTGCCTTACCTGCAGGGCTGCTGGAAGAGGGAGCGGAAGGAGTGCAGCCATTCCTGGTGGAAGCACATCAGAGAAAATGCAGCAGGCACGAGTGGATCAGCAGGCACGAGTGGATCAGCAGGCACGAGTGGATCAGCAGGCACGAGTGGATCAGCAGGCACGAGTGGATCATAAATGATTCTCCTCTTCCTCCACCCCATTGTCTGCCCCTCAGCACAAGGAGCGCCTAGCGGAGCGGCGGGAAGAGCAGTGGAAAGAGAAGCGGCGGTCGCAGCGAACATGTTAGCCGAGGGAATGGGCAGCGAACATGTTAGCCGAGGGAATGGGCAGCGAACATGTTAGCCGAGGGAATGGGCAGCGAACATGTTAGCCGAGGGAATGGGCAGCGAACATGTTAGCCGAGGGAATGGGCAGCGAACATGTTAGCCGAGGGAATGGGCAGCGAACATGTTAGCCGAGGGAATGGGCAGCGAACATGTTAGCCGAGGGAATGGGCAGCGAACATGTTAGCCGAGGGAATGGGCAGCGAACATGTTAGCCGAGGGAATGGGCAGCGAACATGTTAGCCGAGGGAATGGGCAGCGAACATGTTAGCCGAGGGAATGGGCAGCGAACATGTTAGCCGAGGGAATGGGCAGCGAACATGTTAGCCGAGGGAATGGGCAGCGAACATGTTAGCCGAGGGAATGGGCTGCGAACATGTTAGCCGAGGGAATGGGCAGCGAACATGTTAGCCGAGGGAATGGGCAGCGAACATGTTAGCCGAGGGAATGGGCAGCGAACATGTTAGCCGAGGGAATGGGCAGCGAACATGTTAGCCGAGGGAATGGGCAGCGAACATGTTAGCCGAGGGAATGGGCAGCGAACATGTTAGCCGAGGGAATGGGCAGCGAACATGTTAGCCGAGGGAATGGGCAGCGAACATGTTAGCCGAGGGAATGGGCAGCGAACATGTTAGCCGAGGGAAGGGCTGCGTTGGGCGGAACCGCGCCACCTAGTGGTGGCGCTTGCTGGAATAATAGTGGTGGTGTGGCTGGTGTGTTGCAAGTTCAAGGATGGCTCGTGTGTTGCAAGTTCAAGGATGGCTCGTGTGTTGCAAGTTCAAGGATGGCTCGTGTGTTGCAAGTTCAAGGATGGCTCGTGTGTTGCAAGTTCAAGGATGGCTTGCCCACTTCACAACCTTTGATGCTCACGGTCACCTAACGTGGTTACCCGAAGTTCCAACGACCAAGCCAATTTCAGGCAATTTCATTAAATTTTGTCGCCCCTTTCTTCCAGCCTAGCCCTTGACAGCCCAGTCCAACCTAGAGGTAACGCTACCTCATGAATAGTTCCAGCTCACGGGCTCACACGAGGAAGGGAGCGGGTTGAAGAGGTCTCACCAGCAGGCCTTGCAGAGGCGGAGTGCTGCATGCTCCTGCGGAGGGATGCGTTGAGGCAGCACAGCGCAGCTTGTGCACCGCTTGCCGTGCTTGTGCCTGATGGGGGAGAGATAGGAGATCGAAGACGAGAAGAGAGAGGTGAAACGAGGGTAGGACAGAGGGAGGGAAAAGAGATGGAAAGAGAGAGTGTAGTGAAAGAAGCAAGCATTGAATCGATAATGGGCTCAAAAGGAGCCACGGTATACATAGGTGAAGAAGATGGCAAAGCATGAGCCTGGCCAACAATTATTGGAGGCTTCAATCATTGTTGGATTGGTTGGACCAACATAATTGGAGGTCCAATAATTGTTGGGAACCCAACCAAGCTTCACCCACAAATTGTGGTTGAAGGTACACCCAACAGCCCTACACCTAATCTAGCATATGCATGTTGTATAAAAGATAATACAACATGTAGTAGGAGAAATTTGGATAATGGACAGGTCAAGCTGCACAGCATCGCAGCATGGCATCGTTGCATGGCATCGCTGCATGGCATCGCTGCATGGCATCGCTGCATGGCATCGCAGCATGGCATCGTTGCATGGCATCGTTGCATGGCATCGCTGCATGGCATCGCAGCATGGCATCGCAGCATGGCATCGTTGCATGGCATCGTTGCATGGCATCGCTGCATGGCATCGCAGCATGGCATCGCAGCATGGCATCGTTGCATGGCATCGTTGCATGGCATCGCTGCATGGCATCGCTGCATGGCAGGTTACTCACAGTTATGAGCTGGAAGGCCATGTGGTGTGACTGCCCCCATGCATGCACGTGCGGCCCCACCTAGCATCGCATGGCGCATGGGGATGGGACAGGGGGGGCTATGTTGAAAATGAATCGCATGGTAAGAAACAAATCACGCGTATTCGTTATCGCATATACGAAAATTCGCGCAGAAAAATGCGATATGCTCGGTCGAGCAGCCCGTTGAAAAAAGCAAATTAATGAAAAAAAAAATGCGTACAAATTGCACACTTTTGCAAGGCACAAACTCGTGTGTTGAATGCATCCATATTTCCCCCACCCAATGTCACACAGCCCCACAAGCATGTGAGCACTTGCAGGTGTGCGGGTCTAGTGATTCGCGCCCAGAGCGCGCATCTGGTATTCCGTGCCAAACACAAACCATGTCTCACCTCCACTCCACTGAAGCCTTTTCGCCGGCCTGAAGATATTTTTTTAACTGCACGACACTCCGTAATCCAGGTTTTTCTGTATGCTGGAAATCAGCGTATCACGTATGTACGGTGGCATATAGCTCGTACGCCGAACGGTTTCCCGACATAGCAGGGAGGGTGATGCATTCCCGGCACACACTCGAGGCACACTCGGCACACACGCGGCAAACACTCACCTCGTTTGTCCCAAACACAGCGACCCCATCCACTCGTGAGCTGCCAGCTGGCATGAGGGAGATCACTGCACGGAAGGCTCCAGGAACCCTCGCCTCAATCACTCCTGGAGGACACACGACCTGGGCTCCCCCTTGCCCCAGCCCTCGTCTTTGAGCGGGCGAGGCTTGCAGTTCTAAAGGAGCTTTTCTTGAAGGGGGTGCTTCTTCTGTCGCCTCTCCTTGCTCCTGCTCCACTTTCTCCTTCTTCACTTGCCCCTTCTCCCTCTCCCTGTTCTCTCCTCCCTCGTCTCTCTCCCCCCTCTCCATTCGCCCTGCCCTCCCCCCCCCATCATGCACAGCAGCAGCGCATGTGCCGGTGTGCCCCATGAGGTGGGTCGGCCAGGAGGAGCGGCGCAGCAGGGCGAGGTGCAAGGAGGGGCACGCCACGCGCACGCGCTGCAGCACACCGCGCAGCACGGGGTCGCTGCTCCCCTCCATGCCGCCCTCCCCGCCACCCCCCTCGCCCCGCCTCCTCTTCACGGCCTTGGCTCCCGCTGCGCCAGCATGCGCATGAGCAGCACCAGGAGCATCAGTGTCGCCAGTGCCACCCACACTGCCAGCGCCAACATCACCACCACTCATTGATTTTCCTGTCACCCCACCCGCACGCCCTGCGCTTTCCCCTCCACCACCACCATCACCATCACCATCACCATCACCATCACCATCACCATCACCATCACCATCACCATCACCATCACCATCACCATCACCACCACCACCACCATCACCACCTACACCTACCTTGCTTTCATTCCCCCCTTCACCTCCCTTCGCCCCTGCCCCCTCTGCTTTTTCCACCCCACGCCCTTCTCCCCCTTCCCCACCTCCTTCCCCAGTACCAGAGACCGGCCTTCGCCCTTCATTCCTCTCCACGCCTCCCATTCCCTCTCCCTCCGTCCCACCTGCCTCCTGCTCCTCTGCCTGAGCGCCTCCCCCGTCCCCCCCATCGGCCGCGCCGCGCCCATCCACATCCACGTCCATGTCCTCGCCGCCAAAGTCCCCCCCCAGCATCATCATCTCATCGCCCCCCCCCAGGTCATCCGCCTCCATTGCATTCCCCCCCCCCACACCCCCCCCCGCCCCTGCCCCCATTCCCCCAATACTCCCCCCTATACTTCCTCCTATCCCCCCCATCCGCCCAAACGCCCCAAGGCCGCGAACCAGTCCCCCCACCCTCCCCCGACCGAGTCCAACCGCACCTAGCGCCCCCATCACCCCCAAGCCTGCTGGTGGGGTGGCTCGGCCCAACCCTGGTCCCGGGCCATCGCGGCCAGCTTCGGAAGCGGCAGCAGGCGTATCGGCAGCAGCTGCAGGAGTACCTTCCCCAGAAGCACCTGTGTTGACGGAGGTGGCTTCTGCTGCTCCTTCTGAGCGTGTTGTTGCAGCAGCAGCAGCAGCAGCAGCAGCAGCAGCAGCAGCAGCAGCAGCATGAGGGGCAGTAGCGGCAGTGGCAGCATCGGTGGCAGCGCATGTGCCTTCCCCACTTTCATCACCACCTGCTACCTGCACCTTCCCTTCCCCACCCCCACCTCCCGCCCCTCCCCCCCACCCACTGTTGCCCCTTCCACCTTCACGGCAGCCGCGCCAGCAGAGGCGGTGGAGCCATGAGCAGCAGCCTCAGCAGCAGCAGCAGCCTCAGCAGCAGCGGCAGCACTGGTGGGCCTGTGTGGCAGCCCGGCAGCACCCCCGCCACCACTGCCAGCAGCAGCAGCAGCAGCAGCAGCAGGCAGTGCCGTGGCGTCAGCAGGGCAGGCTGTGGGTCGGTGGGCGAGGTGGCGGGCGAGTGCAGCGAGCGTGAGAGGCGGCGCCGCGAGGGCCGGGAAGCAGCGCTGCCTGTGGCGCTGAAATGCCGCGAGCGCCACTCTGGTGGGGGGAGGGGTGACGGGGAAGAGGTGAAGAGAGGGAACGGGGGAGATGGAGAGACAGGGGGAAGGGGAAATGGGGAGAGGGAAGAGAAGAAGAATAGTTGAACAAGATGCATGAAGTGGCCGTGGCCCGTGGTGTGGTAGTGAGATGGGAACGCAGGGGAGCAGCGGCGCATTCGGTTTGGAGGAGGACGGCGAGATGCATGCAGGGACGAGGAACCGATGGGCGCAGAGAGGGGAGGGCGCCTCTGAGACAGAAAACACGACAGCAAACACACAAACACACACAGCCCTCCCCCCTCCCTGCTCACCCGGTGCGCTTGGCAGCGGTGGTGGCGGCATGAGCAGCGATGTGGCGCTTCCACGCGTAGCTCACCAGCATGCCATCCCCACACACCAGCGCCGCCTGCCTCACTCCCCCCAGTACCTTCCTGGAAACTCCATCCCGACCAACTCCCTCCCCTCCTCCTACTCCCTCCCCTCCCTCTTTCGAATCACCATGCAATCCAGATGCCGCATTTCCCTCCTCTCTCTCGGTCCCTTCCCCTCCACCTGCAGTGGTGGCGGGTGGGGAAGGCGTGCCGTGTGCGTCCCACGCGCCCAGCTGCGCTAGCTGCGTGCCTGGCACGTGAGAGGAGCGCAAGAGAGGAGCGCAAGAGAGGAGCGAATGAGAGGAGCGAATGAGAGGAGCGAATGAGAGGAGCGAATGAGAGGAGCGCATGAGAGGAGCGAATGAGAGGAGCGCATGAGAGGAGCGAATGAGAGGAGCGCATGAGAGGGGCGAATGAGAGGAGCGCATGAGAGGAGCGCATGAGAGGAGCGAATGAGAGGAGCGCATGAGAGGAGCGAATGAGAGGAGCGCATGAGAGGAGCGAATGAGAGGAGCGAATGAGAGGAGCGAATGAGAGGAGCGAATGAGAGGAGCGAATGAGAGGAGCGCATGAGAGGAGCGAATGAGAGGAGCGCATGAGAGGAGCGAATGAGAGGAGCGAATGAGAGGAGCGAATGAGAGGAGCGCATGAGAGGAGCGAATGAGAGGAGCGCATGAGAGGAGCGAATGAGAGGAGCGCATGAGAGGAGCGAATGAGAGGAGCGAATGAGAGGAGCGAATGAGAGGAGCGCATGAGAGGAGCGAATGAGAGGAGCGCATGAGAGGAGCGAATGAGAGGAGCGCATGAGAGGAGCGAATGAGAGGAGCGAATGAGAGGAGCGAATGAGAGGAGCGCATGAGAGGAGCGAATGAGAGGAGCGCATGAGAGGAGCGAATGAGAGGAGCGCATGAGAGGAGCGAATGAGAGGAGCGCATGAGAGGAGCGAATGAGAGGAGCGCATGAGAGGAGCGAATGAGAGGAGCGCATGAGAGGAGCGAATGAGAGGAGCGCATGAGAGGAGCGAATGAGAGGAGCGCATGAGAGGAGCGAATGAGAGGAGCGCATGAGAGGAGCGAATGTGACGAGCGCATGAGAGGAGCGAATGAGAGGAGCGCATGGGAGGAGCGAATGAGAGGAGCGCATGAGAGGAGCGAATGAGAAGAGCGCATGAGAGGAGCGAATCAGAGGAGCGAATGAGAGGAGCGCATGAGAGGAGCGAATGAGAGGAGCGCATGAGAGGAGCGAATGAGAGGAGCGAATGAGAGGAGCGAATGAGAGGAGCGAATGAGAGGAGCGCATGAGAGGAGCGAATGAGAGGAGCGAATGAGAGGAGCGAATGAGAGGAGCGAATGAGAGGAGCGAATGAGAGGAGCGAATGAGAGGAGCGAATGAGAGGAGCGCATGAGAGGAGCGAATGAGAGGAGCGAATGAGAGGAGCGAATGAGAGGAGCGCATGAGAGGAGCGAATGAGAGGAGCGCATGAGAGGAGCGAATGAGAGGAGCGCATGAGAGGAGCGAATGAGAGGAGCGAATGAGAGGAGCGAATGAGAGGAGCGAATGAGAGGAGCGCATGAGAGGAGCGAATGAGAGGAGCGCATGAGAGGAGCGAATGAGAGGAGCGCATGAGAGGAGCGAATGAGAGGAGCGCATGAGAGGAGCGAATGAGAGGAGCGCATGAGAGGAGCGAATGAGAGGAGCGCATGAGAGGAGCGAATGAGAGGAGCGCATGAGAGGAGCGAATGAGAGGAGCGCATGAGAGGAGCGAATGAGAGGAGCGCATGAGAGGAGCGAATGAGAGGAGCGAATGAGAGGAGCGAATGAGAGGAGCGCATGAGAGGAGCGAATGAGAGGAGCGCATGAGAGGAGCGAATGAGAGGAGCGCATGAGAGGAGCGAATGAGAGGAGCGAATGAGAGGAGCGAATGAGAGGAGCGCATGAGAGGAGCGAATGAGAGGAGCGCATGAGAGGAGCGAATGAGAGGAGCGAATGAGAGGAGCGAATGAGAGGAGCGCATGAGAGGAGCGAATGAGAGGAGCGAATGAGAGGAGCGAATGAGAGGAGCGAATGAGAGAGCGCATGAGAGGAGCGAATGAGAGGAGCGAATGAGAGGAGCGAATGAGAGGAGCGCATGAGAGGAGTGAATGAGAGGAGCGAATGAGAGGAGCGAATGAGAGGAGCGAATGAGAGGAGCGAATGAGAGGAGCGCATGAGAGGAGCGAGTGAGAGGAGCGCATGAGAGGAGCGAATGTGACGAGCGCATGAGAGGAGCGAATGAGAGGAGCGCATGAGAGGAGCGAATGAGAGGAGCGCATGAGAGGAGCGAATGAGAGGAGCGCATGAGAGGAGCGAATGAGAGGAGCGCATGAGAGGAGCGAATGAGAGGAGCGAATGAGAGGAGCGAATGAGAGGAGCGAATGAGAGGAGCGCATGAGAGGAGCGAATGAGAGGAGCGAATGAGAGGAGCGCATGAGAGGAGCGAATGAGAGGAGCGCATGAGAGGGGCGAATGAGAGGAGCGCATGAGAGGAGCGCATGAGAGGAGCGCATGAGAGGAGCGCATGAGAGGAGCGAATGAGAGGAGCGAATGAGAGGAGCGAATGAGAGGAGCGCATGAGAGGAGCGAATGAGAGGAGCGAATGAGAGGAGCGCATGAGAGGAGCGAATGAGAGGAGCGCATGAGAGGAGCGAATGAGAGGAGCGAATGAGAGGAGCGAATGAGAGGAGCGCATGAGAGGAGCGAATGAGAGGAGCGCATGAGAGGAGCGAATGAGAGGAGCGCATGAGAGGAGCGAATGAGAGGAGCGAATGAGAGGAGCGAATGAGAGGAGCGCATGAGAGGAGCGAATGAGAGGAGCGCATGAGAGGAGCGAATGAGAGGAGCGCATGAGAGGAGCGAATGAGAGGAGCGCATGAGAGGAGCGAATGAGAGGAGCGCATGAGAGGAGCGAATGTGACGAGCGCATGAGAGGAGCGAATGAGAGGAGCGCATGAGAGGAGCGAATGAGAGGAGCGCATGAGATGAGCGAATGAGAGGAGCGCATGAGAGGAGCGAATGAGAGGAGCGCATGAGAGGAGCGAATGAGAGGAGCGCATGAGAGGAGCGAATGAGAGGAGCGCATGAGAGGAGCGAATGAGAGGAGCGCATGAGAGGAGCGAATGAGAGGAGCGCATGAGAGGAGCGAATGAGAGGAGCGCATGAGAGGAGCGAATGAGAGGAGCGCATGAGAGGAGCGAATGAGAGGAGCGAATGAGAGGAGCGAATGAGAGGAGTGCATGAGAGGAGCGAATGAGACGAGCGCATGAGAGGAGCGAATGAGAGGAGCGCATGAGAGGAGCGAATGAGAGGAGCGAATGAGAGGAGCGAATGAGAGGAGCGAATGAGAGGAGCGCATGAGAGGAGCGAATGAGAGGAGCGCATGAGAGGAGCGAATGAGAGGAGCGCATGAGAGGAGCGAATGAGAGGAGCGAATGAGAGGAGCGAATGAGAGGAGCGCATGAGAGGAGCGAATGAGAGGAGCGAATGAGAGGAGCGAATGAGAGGAGCGAATGAGAGGAGCGCATGAGAGGAGCGAATGAGAGGAGCGAATGAGAGGAGCGAATGAGAGGAGCGAATGAGAGGAGCGCATGAGAGGAGCGAATGAGAGGAGCGCATGAGAGGAGCGAATGAGAGGAGCGCATGAGAGGAGCGAATGAGAGGAGCGAATGAGAGGAGCGAATGAGAGGAGCGCATGAGAGGAGCGAATGAGAGGAGCGCATGAGAGGAGCGAATGAGAGGAGCGCATGAGAGGAGCGAATGAGAGGAGCGAATGAGAGGAGCGAATGAGAGGAGCGCATGAGAGGAGCGAATGAGAGGAGCGCATGAGAGGAGCGAATGAGAGGAGCGCATGAGAGGAGCGAATGAGAGGAGCGCATGAGAGGAGCGAATGAGAGGAGCGCATGAGAGGAGCGAATGAGAGGAGCGCATGAGAGGAGCGAATGAGAGGAGCGCATGAGAGGAGCGAATGAGAGGAGCGCATGAGAGGAGCGAATGAGAGGAGCGCATGAGAGGAGCGAATGTGACGAGCGCATGAGAGGAGCGAATGAGAGGAGCGCATGAGAGGAGCGAATGAGAGGAGCGCATGAGAGGAGCGAATGAGAGGAGCGCATGAGAGGAGCGAATGAGAGGAGCGAATGAGAGGATCGAATGAGAGGAGCGCATGAGAGGAGCGAATGAGAGGAGCGCATGAGAGGAGCGAATGAGAGGAGCGAATGAGAGGAGCGAATGAGAGGAGCGCATGAGAGGAGCGAGTGAGAGGAGCGAATGAGAGGAGCGAATGAGAGGAGCGAATGAGAGGAGCGAATGAGAGGAGCGAATGAGAGGAGCGAATGAGAGGAGCGAATGAGAGGAGCGCATGAGAGGAGCGAATGAGAGGAGCGAATGAGAGGAGCGAATGAGAGGAGCGAATGAGAGGAGCGCATGAGAGGAGCGAATGAGAGGAGCGCATGAGAGGAGCGAATGAGAGGAGCGCATGAGAGGAGCGAATGAGAGGAGCGCATGAGAGGAGCGAATGAGAGGAGCGCATGAGAGGAGCGAATGAGAGGAGCGCATGAGAGGAGCGAATGAGAGGAGCGCATGAGAGGAGCGAATGAGAGGAGCGCATGAGAGGAGCGAATGAGAGGAGCGCATGAGAGGAGCGAATGAGAGGAGCGCATGAGAGGAGCGAATGTGAGGAGCGCATGAGAGGAGCGAATGAGAGGAGCGCATGGGAGGAGCGAATGAGAGGAGCGCATGAGAGGAGCGAATGAGAGGAGCGCATGAGAGGAGCGAATCAGAGGAGCGAATGAGAGGAGCGCATGAGAGGAGCGAATGAGAGGAGCGCATGAGAGGAGCGAATGAGAGGAGCGAATGAGAGGAGCGAATGAGAGGAGCGCATGAGAGGAGCGAATGAGAGGAGCGAATGAGAGGAGCGAATGAGAGGAGCGAATGAGAGGAGCGAATGAGAGGAGCGAATGAGAGGAGCGCATGAGAGGAGCGAATGAGAGGAGCGAATGAGAGGAGCGAATGAGAGGAGCGAATGAGAGGAGCGAATGAGAGGAGCGAATGAGAGGAGCGCATGAGAGGAGCGAATCAGAGGAGCGAATGAGAGGAGCGAATGAGAGGAGCGAATGAGAGGAGCGCATGAGAGGAGCGAATGAGAGGAGCGCATGAGAGGAGCGAATGAGAGGAGCGCATGGGAGGAGCGAATGAGAGGAGCGCATGAGAGGAGCGAATGAGAGGAGCGCATGGGAGGAGCGAATGAGAGGAGCGCATGAGAGGAGCGAATGAGAGGAGCGCATGAGAGGAGCGAATCAGAGGAGCGAATGAGAGGAGCGCATGAGAGGAGCGAATGAGAGGAGCGCATGAGAGGAGCGAATGAGAGGAGCGAATGAGAGGAGCGAATGAGAGGAGCGCATGAGAGGAGCGAATGAGAGGAGCGAATGAGAGGAGCGAATGAGAGGAGCGCATGAGAGGAGCGAATGAGAGGAGCGCATGAGAGGAGCGAATGAGAGGAGCGCATGAGAGGAGCGAATGAGAGGAGCGCATGAGAGGAGCGAATGAGAGGAGCGCATGAGAGGAGCGAATGAGAGGAGCGCATGAGAGGAGCGAATGAGAGGAGCGCATGAGAGGAGCGAATGAGAGGAGCGCATGAGAGGAGCGAATGTGAGGAGCGCATGAGAGGAGCGAATGAGAGGAGCGCATGGGAGGAGCGAATGAGAGGAGCGCATGAGAGGAGCGAATGAGAGGAGCGCATGAGAGGAGCGAATCAGAGGAGCGAATGAGAGGAGCGCATGAGAGGAGCGAATGAGAGGAGCGCATGAGAGGAGCGAATGAGAGGAGCGAATGAGAGGAGCGAATGAGAGGAGCGCATGAGAGGAGCGAATGAGAGGAGCGAATGAGAGGAGCGAATGAGAGGAGCGAATGAGAGGAGCGAATGAGAGGAGCGAATGAGAGGAGCGCATGAGAGGAGCGAATGAGAGGAGCGAATGAGAGGAGCGAATGAGAGGAGCGAATGAGAGGAGCGAATGAGAGGAGCGAATGAGAGGAGCGCATGAGAGGAGCGAATCAGAGGAGCGAATGAGAGGAGCGAATGAGAGGAGCGAATGAGAGGAGCGCATGAGAGGAGCGAATGAGAGGAGCGCATGAGAGGAGCGAATGAGAGGAGCGCATGAGAGGAGCGAATGAGAGGAGCGAATGAGAGGAGCGAATGAGAGGAGCGAATGAGAGGAGCGAATGAGAGGAGCGCATGAGAGGAGCGAATGAGAGGAGCGCATGAGAGGAGCGAATGAGAGGAGCGCATGAGAGGAGCGAATGAGAGGAGCGCATGAGAGGAGCGAATGAGAGGAGCGCATGAGAGGAGCGAATGAGAGGAGCGCATGAGAGGAGCGAATGAGAGGAGCGCATGAGAGGAGCGAATGAGAGGAGCGCATGAGAGGAGCGAATGAGAGGAGCGCATGAGAGGAGCGAATGAGAGGAGCGAATGAGAGGAGCGAATGAGAGGAGCGCATGAGAGGAGCGAATGAGAGGAGCGCATGAGAGGAGCGAATGAGAGGAGCGCATGAGAGGAGCGAATGAGAGGAGCGAATGAGAGGAGCGAATGAGAGGAGCGCATGAGAGGAGCGAATGAGAGGAGCGCATGAGAGGAGCGAATGAGAGGAGCGAATGAGAGGAGCGAATGAGAGGAGCGCATGAGAGGAGCGAATGAGAGGAGCGCATGAGAGGAGCGAATGAGAGGAGCGCATGAGAGGAGCGAATGAGAGGAGCGCATGAGAGGAGCGAATGAGAGGAGCGAATGAGAGGAGCGAATGAGAGGAGCGCATGAGAGGAGCGAATGAGAGGAGCGAATGAGAGGAGCGCATGAGAGGAGCGAATGAGAGGAGCGAATGAGAGGAGCGAATGAGAGGAGCGAATGAGAGGAGCGCATGAGAGGAGCGAATGAGAGGAGCGCATGAGAGGAGCGAATGAGAGGAGCGCATGAGAGGAGCGAATGAGAGGAGCGCATGAGAGGAGCGAATGAGAGGAGCGCATGAGAGGAGCGAATGAGAGGAGCGCATGAGAGGAGCGAATGAGAGGAGCGCATGAGAGGAGCGAATGAGAGGAGCGCATGAGAGGAGCGAATGAGAGGAGCGCATGAGAGGAGCGAATGAGAGGAGCGAATGAGAGGAGCGAATGAGAGGAGCGCATGAGAGGAGCGAATGAGAGGAGCGCATGAGAGGAGCGAATGAGAGGAGCGCATGAGAGGAGCGAATGAGAGGAGCGAATGAGAGGAGCGCATGAGAGGAGCGAATGAGAGGAGCGCATGAGAGGAGCGAATGACAGGAGCGAATGAGAGGAGCGAATGAGAGGAGCGCATGAGAGGAGCGAATGAGAGGAGCGCATGAGAGGAGCGAATGAGAGGAGCGCATGAGAGGAGCGAATGAGAGGAGCGCATGAGAGGAGCGAATGAGAGGAGCGAATGAGAGGAGCGAATGAGAGGAGAGCATGAGAGGAGCGAATGAGAGGAGCGCATGAGAGGAGCGCATGAGAGGAGCGAATGAGAGGAGCGCATGAGAGGGGCGAATGAGAGGAGCGCATGAGAGGAGCGCATGAGAGGAGCGCATGAGAGGAGCGCATGAGAGGAGCGCATGAGAGGAGCGCATGAGAGGAGCGAATGAGAGGAGCGCATGAGAGGAGCGAATGAGAGGAGCGCATGAGAGGAGCGAATGAGAGGAGCGCATGAGAGGAGCGAATGAGAGGAGCGCATGAGAGGAGCGAATGAGAGGAGCGAATGAGAGGAGCGAATGAGAGGAGCGAATGAGAGGAGCGAATGAGAGGAGTGCATGAGAGGAGCGAATGAGAGGAGCGCATGAGAGGAGCGAATGAGAGGAGCGCATGAGAGGAGCGAATGAGAGGAGCGCATGAGAGGAGCGAATGAGAGGAGCGCATGAGAGGAGCGAATGAGAGGAGCGCATGAGAGGAGCGAATGAGAGGAGCGCATGAGAGGAGCGAATGTGACGAGCGCATGAGAGGAGCGAATGAGAGGAGCGCATGAGTGGAGCGAATGAGAGGAGCGCATGAGATGAGCGAATGAGAGGAGCGCATGAGAGGAGCGAATGAGAGGAGCGCATGAGAGGAGCGAATGAGAGGAGCGCATGAGAGGAGCGAATGAGAGGAGCGCATGAGAGGAGCGAATGAGAGGAGCGCATGAGAGGAGTGAATGAGAGGAGCGCATGAGAGGAGCGAATGAGAGGAGCGCATGAGAGGAGCGAATGAGAGGAGCGCATGAGAGGAGCGAATGAGAGGAGCGAATGAGAGGAGCGAATGAGAGGAGCGCATGAGAGGAGCGAATGAGACGAGCGCATGAGAGGAGCGAATGAGAGGAGCGCATGAGAGGAGCGAATGAGAGGAGCGAATGAGAGGAGCGAATGAGAGGAGCGAATGAGAGGAGCGCATGAGAGGAGCGAATGAGAGGAGCGCATGAGAGGAGCGAATGAGAGGAGCGCATGAGAGGAGCGAATGAGAGGAGCGAATGAGAGGAGCGAATGAGAGGAGCGCATGAGAGGAGCGAATGAGAGGAGCGAATGAGAGGAGCGAATGAGAGGAGCGAATGAGAGGAGCGCATGAGAGGAGCGAATGAGAGGAGCGAATGAGAGGAGCGAATGAGAGGAGCGCATGAGAGGAGCGAATGAGAGGAGCGCATGAGAGGAGCGAATGAGAGGAGCGCATGAGAGGAGCGAATGAGAGGAGCGCATGAGAGGAGCGAATGAGAGGAGCGCATGAGAGGAGCGAATGAGAGGAGCGCATGAGAGGAGCGAATGAGAGGAGCGCATGAGAGGAGCGAATGAGAGGAGCGCATGAGAGGAGCGAATGAGAGGAGCGCATGAGAGGAGCGAATGAGAGGAGCGCATGAGAGGAGCGAATGAGAGGAGCGCATGAGAGGAGCGAATGAGAGGAGCGCATGAGAGGAGCGAATGAGAGGAGCGCATGAGAGGAGCGAATGTGACGAGCGCATGAGAGGAGCGAATGAGAGGAGCGCATGAGAGGAGCGAATGAGAGGAGCGCATGAGAGGAGCGAATGAGAGGAGCGCATGAGAGGAGCGAATGAGAGGAGCGAATGAGAGGAGCGAATGAGAGGAGCGCATGAGAGGAGCGAATGAGAGGAGCGCATGAGAGGAGCGAATGAGAGGAGCGAATGAGAGGAGCGAATGAGAGGAGCGCATGAGAGGAGCGAATGAGAGGAGCGAATGAGAGGAGCGAATGAGAGGAGCGAATGAGAGGAGCGAATGAGAGGAGCGAATGAGAGGAGCGAATGAGAGGAGCGAATGAGAGGAGCGCATGAGAGGAGCGAATGAGAGGAGCGAATGAGAGGAGCGAATGAGAGGAGCGAATGAGAGGAGCGCATGAGAGGAGCGAATGAGAGGAGCGCATGAGAGGAGCGAATGAGAGGAGCGCATGAGAGGAGCGAATGAGAGGAGCGAATGAGAGGAGCGAATGAGAGGAGCGAATGAGAGGAGCGAATGAGAGGAGCGAATGAGAGGAGCGCATGAGAGGAGCGAATGAGAGGAGCGCATGAGAGGAGCGAATGAGAGGAGCGCATGAGAGGAGCGAATGAGAGGAGCGAATGAGAGGAGCGAATGAGAGGAGCGCATGAGAGGAGCGAATGAGAGGAGCGCATGAGAGGAGCGAATGAGAGGAGCGCATGAGAGGAGCGAATGAGAGGAGCGAATGAGAGGAGCGAATGAGAGGAGCGCATGAGAGGAGCGAATGAGAGGAGCGCATGAGAGGAGCGAATGAGAGGAGCGCATGAGAGGAGCGAATGAGAGGAGCGCATGAGAGGAGCGAATGAGAGGAGCGCATGAGAGGAGCGAATGAGAGGAGCGCATGAGAGGAGCGAATGAGAGGAGCGCATGAGAGGAGCGAATGAGAGGAGCGCATGAGAGGAGCGAATGAGAGGAGCGCATGAGAGGAGCGAATGTGACGAGCGCATGAGAGGAGCGAATGAGAGGAGCGCATGGGAGGAGCAAATGAGAGGAGCGCATGAGAGGAGCGAATGAGAGGAGCGCATGAGAGGAGCGAATCAGAGGAGCGAATGAGAGGAGCGCATGAGAGGAGCGAATGAGAGGAGCGCATGAGAGGAGCGAATGAGAGGAGCGAATGAGAGGAGCGAATGAGAGGAGCGCATGAGAGGAGCGAATGAGAGGAGCGAATGAGAGGAGCGAATGAGAGGAGCGAATGAGAGGAGCGAATGAGAGGAGCGCATGAGAGGAGCGAATGAGAGGAGCGAATGAGAGGAGCGAATGAGAGGAGCGAATGAGAGGAGCGCATGAGAGGAGCGAATGAGAGGAGCGCATGAGAGGAGCGAATGAGAGGAGCGCATGAGAGGAGCGAATGAGAGGAGCGAATGAGAGGAGCGAATGAGAGGAGCGAATGAGAGGAGCGCATGAGAGGAGCGAATGAGAGGAGCGCATGAGAGGAGCGAATGAGAGGAGCGCATGAGAGGAGCGAATGAGAGGAGCGCATGAGAGGAGCGAATGAGAGGAGCGCATGAGAGGAGCGAATGAGAGGAGCGCATGAGAGGAGCGAATGAGAGGAGCGCATGAGAGGAGCGAATGAGATGAGCGCATGAGAGGAGCGAATGAGAGGAGCGCATGAGAGGAGCGAATGAGAGGAGTGAATGAGAGGAGCGAATGAGAGGAGCGCATGAGAGGAGCGAATGAGAGGAGCGCATGAGAGGAGCGAATGAGAGGAGCGCATGAGAGGAGCGAATGAGAGGAGCGAATGAGAGGAGCGAATGAGAGGAGCGCATGAGAGGAGCGAATGAGAGGAGCGCATGAGAGGAGCGAATGAGAGGAGCGAATGAGAGGAGCGAATGAGAGGAGCGCATGAGAGGAGCGAATGAGAGGAGCGAATGAGAGGAGCGAATGAGAGGAGCGCATGAGAGGAGCGAATGAGAGGAGCGCATGAGAGGAGCGAATGAGAGGAGCGCATGAGAGGAGCGAATGAGAGGAGCGAATGAGAGGAGCGAATGAGAGGAGCGCATGAGAGGAGCGAATGAGAGGAGCGCATGAGAGGAGCGAATGAGAGGAGCGCATGAGAGGAGCGAATGAGAGGAGCGCATGAGAGGAGCGAATGAGAGGAGCGCATGAGAGGAGCGAATGAGAGGAGCGCATGAGAGGAGCGAATGAGAGGAGCGCATGAGAGGAGCGAATGAGAGGAGCGCATGAGAGGAGCGAATGAGAGGAGCGCATGAGAGGAGCGAATGTGACGAGCGCATGAGAGGAGCGAATGAGAGGAGCGCATGGGAGGAGCGAATGAGAGGAGCGCATGAGAGGAGCGAATGAGAGGAGCGCATGAGAGGAGCGAATCAGAGGAGCGAATGAGAGGAGCGCATGAGAGGAGCGAATGAGAGGAGCGCATGAGAGGAGCGAATGAGAGGAGCGAATGAGAGGAGCGAATGAGAGGAGCGCATGAGAGGAGCGAATGAGAGGAGCGAATGAGAGGAGCGAATGAGAGGAGCGAATGAGAGGAGCGAACGAGAGGAGCGAATGAGAGGAGCGCATGAGAGGAGCGAATGAGAGGAGCGAATGAGAGGAGCGAATGAGAGGAGCGAATGAGAGGAGCGCATGAGAGGAGCGAATGAGAGGAGCGCATGAGAGGAGCGAATGAGAGGAGCGCATGAGAGGAGCGAATGAGAGGAGCGAATGAGAGGAGCGAATGAGAGGAGCGAATGAGAGGAGCGCATGAGAGGAGCGAATGAGAGGAGCGCATGAGAGGAGCGAATGAGAGGAGCGCATGAGAGGAGCGAATGAGAGGAGCGCATGAGAGGAGCGAATGAGAGGAGCGCATGAGAGGAGCGAATGAGAGGAGCGCATGAGAGGAGCGAATGAGAGGAGCGCATGAGAGGAGCGAATGAGATGAGCGCATGAGAGGAGCGAATGAGAGGAGCGCATGAGAGGAGCGAATGAGAGGAGTGAATGAGAGGAGCGAATGAGAGGAGCGCATGAGAGGAGCGAATGAGAGGAGCGCATGAGAGGAGCGAATGAGAGGAGCGCATGAGAGGAGCGAATGAGAGGAGCGAATGAGAGGAGCGCATGAGAGGAGCGAATGAGAGGAGCGCATGAGAGGAGCGAATGAGAGGAGCGAATGAGAGGAGCGAATGAGAGGAGCGCATGAGAGGAGCGAATGAGAGGAGCGAATGAGAGGAGCGAATGAGAGGAGCGCATGAGAGGAGCGAATGAGAGGAGCGCATGAGAGGAGCGAATGTGACGAGCGCATGAGAGGAGCGAATGAGAGGAGCGCATGAGAGGAGCGAATGAGAGGAGCGCATGAGAGGAGCGAATGAGAGGAGCGCATGAGAGGAGCGAATGAGAGGAGCGCATGAGAGGAGCGAATGAGAGGAGCGCATGAGAGGAGCGAATGAGAGGAGCGCATGAGAGGAGCGAATGAGAGGAGCGCATGAGAGGAGCGAATGAGAGGAGCGCATGAGAGGAGCGAATGTGAGGAGCGAGAAAGAAACGGGGTGCAGTTGGTGAGATGGACACGATGCGTGGTGGCGTGAGGATGGTGCTCTCGCGAGACACAGGGGTGCGGAACTACATGCATACACTGGAACACGTGAACCCACACTTGTAGCTCCAAAGTAGAGCAACAGGGAGTTGTGCCCGCTGGGAGGGAGTGGCATGTGCAAGGGCGGAAGCAAGGTGCAAGGGTGGAAGCAAGGTGCAAGGGTGGAAGCACCTTATCCTGTCGTCCCGCCTCTCTCCCCACCCTCCCCCCCCTCTCCTTCCGTCACCCCTTGACGCACCTCCAGTAACCACCATGCACGTCCCACCATGCACGTCCCACCATGCACGTCCCACCATGCACGTCCCACCATGCACGTCCCACCATGCACGTCCCACCATGCACGTCCCACCACCCCCCTCCTCGCCTCACCAGTGCGTTGCATTGCAACGTGCCGCATGTCTCCCCATCAGCTCGCCCCTACTCATCACCCGCACCATTTCCCCTCTCGCTGCTGTTCTCTCTACACCCCCCACCCCACCCAACCTCCTGACCCAACCCCATCCACTTCCGCACCCAGCCTCATTGGCATTGCCCCCCCAGCCACATTGCCCCCCCAGCCTCATTGCCCCCCAGCCTCATTGCCCCCCACCCTCATTGCCCCCCACCCTCATTGCCCCCCACCCTCATTGCCCCCCACCCTCATTGCCCCCCAGCCTCATTGCCCCCCACCCTACCAATGAATTGCAACTTCGCCGTGTCCACATCTCTCCCCTAACCAGCCCCCGTTATACTTGCTTAGTATAAAAAATAAACAAGGCCCCCCCACCCACTCCCCCTCTTCCCCCCCCCTTCCGCCCCTCACCCCCCCACCTCCCCCCTCACCAACGGGCAGCAGCTGCGCCACGGTCCCGCGCATCCGCCTCTCCACTTCCCCCATCACCTCCGCCGCTCCGCCCGCGCCCTCCTCGTCGCCTCCCCATCCCTCGCCTCCTGCTTCCGCTGCTGTCACAACCCCCTCTACAAGCACATCCACGCCGCTGCGCACGTCCGTGATAAGCCGCGACGCCGCGTCGAGGAGGTCGAGCGCGTTTGCCAGCAGCTTGGGGGGCGCGGGGGCCGCGGCAGAGGCAGAGGAGCTCATGACTCCTGCTGCTGCTGCCGGTGCCGCTGCTGCTGCCTCTGTTACCGCTGCTGTTACAGCTGCTGTTACCACTGCATCCCAAAAATGGGTGGGGGTGTGCAGTATGTTTGGGAAAGTTAACTTTCTGTGCGGGTGGATGAGAGTATGTTTCTAGTAGGTTCAGTAGCTGACTAGTAACTTGCACGTAGACTCTGCAAACTTTCGGAACTTGGGTGGGATGAGTTCGAAGTTACTTCGCGGTAGGTTTTTGAGTTAGCCAGTCCGAACCTCCCTAGCCTATCTGCGTTGTTTCGAAACTGTACACCTCAGCATGGTTTGAAAAATGTACAGATGTTTCTACCCTGTTTCAAACTCATACGCAATAAAGTGTAATTGTCAAAACAATTAAAGTCTTTAACAGGTGATTAGGGTTCAATTAATGTCATCAATTATAAGTGTGGAAAGGAGAACGAGAATGGATGAACTATGAATGAAGTGAGTACATATAGGAAACCCTAATTGGGTTGTACCCCCTATGGGATACCCCACTATAGCCTACACAACAGCATAAGCTATATAATGTTCTGACACACCCCCATAGGCAAAGTGGGGGAGAACAAGGGGTCACAAGACCAGTCACGCAAAGCACAGCAAGCTCAGGGTGGATCACAAAGTCACCACACAGTCCGAGCACAACTACAAGGCCACAAGGCCAGTTCACATGCAGGAGGACACATATATATATAGAGCTAGACAAGCAAGAGCAGGTATATATATGTGACAGTACAAGCAAGGTCAAGAGGAGAGCAAGTGAGGCAAGACAGGTACAAGACCCAACTGAGTGCAGAAGCGCTGATGGTCACAAGGCGCAAGTGCCTTGGTGAACACATCAGCAGTGTTGGCCTCAGAGGCCACGTACGCAAGTCGCAACTGACCACGCTGCTGCAGCTCACGAGCAAGAAAGTAACGGAGAGCAATGTGCTTCGTTCTGTGCTCCAAGCGCTGCTCTCGACACAAGGCCAGCATGGCCTTGTTGTCTACGTACAGCACTGGAGGAGAATGAGGCTGCTCTCCAAGGTCAGTCAGCAGGTAGGTGAGCCAGCGAAGCTCCTGTGCAGCCATGGCCCCGGCGTAGATCTCAGCCTCACAACTAGAGCCGAGAACAGAGGACGAGCGAGTAGCCCGCCACGAGACAGAGCCGGAACCAAGACTGAAGGTGTAACCCTGCGACGACCGCTGCGTAGCCTGGTCGTCAGCCCAAGAAGCGTCCGCGTGCCCAGTGAGGACCACTGGACTCCGCCCTCCAAGCACTAGCCCCATGCCCGACGTACTGCACAAGTAGCGCAACACCCTCTTCGCTGCAGCCATGTGCTCTGGTCGGTGTCTCCCAGGAGCAACATAGCGTGCAAGAATGCTAAGAGGGTATGCAAGGTCAGGTCGTGTGCAGGTCATCAGGTACATGAGGCAGCCAACAAGCTCTGGGTACGGGCCACTCGACTCTACGGACTCATCCGAAGGCAGAGCTGAGAGCGAGTGGCGAGTAGACAGAGGAGTGGCCTGAGGCGAGGAGTACGTGAAGCCGAAGCGCTGAAGGACCTGCTGCACCATGTGTGACTGAGTCAAGGTAATGGTGCGGCGTGCTCTGTCCCGAGTGATCTGCAAGCCAAGGTAGCTGCGCAGTTCACCCAGGTCTGTGCACGTGTGTCTCTTCTGCAGCTCGGACTTCACGTAGGCTAGTCCAGCAGTGTCAGCTGTGGCAAAGACCAAGTCGTCGACGTACACGAGGATGTAGAACGGCGGCAAAGAAGTGTCGGTGCGCAGAAACAACGACGGGTCAGCAGTAGAGGGAGCAAACCCAAGAGCCGCAAGCGTAGTCCTCAGTGTGTCGTGCCACTCACGCGGTGCCTGGCGGAGACCGTAGACTGGCCGTCGGAGGCTCCACTGGGTGCCAGGAGGGAAAGTCCCAGTGAAGCCAGGTGGACGGCGCAGCCAGATCTCCTCGTGCAGGCTACCCTGCAAGAAAGCAGTGCTGAAGTCAAGAGAGTGGAGCTCGTAGTCGCGCTGAGCGGCTATGTGCAGCAGCACCCGAAGAGTGGTCATCTTCGGGGTGGGAGAGAAGGTCTGAAAGTAGTCAACTCCCTGCCGCTGACTGAAGCCACGAGCGACGTACCGCGCCTTGAAGACAGGTGGAGAGCCCGGCGGCCGCTTCACCCTGAAGATCCACATGCCACTGACGATGTTCGCCCCAGGAGGGGGCACCGCGTCAACGTAGGTGCCTGTGGACTTCCAGGACGCCATCTCTGCATCCATAGCTGCCTGCCACTGAGAGGAGTAGGGACCCTCTACGGCCTCCGCGTAAGAGCGCGGAGTCGGGATGTCTAGTGCATCCGGGTCTCCCTCAGGGGCAAGTAGTACGGACGCGAGATGAGGTGAAGCAGCAGCCAGACACTGGAACTCCTCCTGCCTGTCCTCAAGGACGTCCGTGCCAAGAGCACACTCACCCCCGACGGACGGAGGACAGACAGACGCAGACTCAGCAACAAGACCGGCAGCGTAGTCTAGACGACAGCGAGCAGCAAAGTCGACGAGCTCAGCAACAAGCGCAGACGCAGCAGTGGACTCAAAAGAGGGGTCAGTGACGACAGTAGCAAGGAGACGTGTGACAGTAGGACTAGCAGCACGAAGAGAGTCGGAATCTGGGTCGGTAAGTGCAGGAAGGGAGGACTCAGGAGGAGAAGGCAAAGGGGCACGCAGAGGAGCAGTGGACGGACGCAAAGACATCCGGTGCGTGCCAGGGACAGGAGGAGGACGCTGACGCGAACCGCGACCACTAGCGCGAGCAGCACGAACAGGCGACGCAGGACGAGACGCAGGCTCACGACGCTCAGCAAGACCTCCAGTGGGACCAGTGTAAGGAGAGGGAGCAGGAAGTGGGGAGGCGGGCTCTAACTGGGACTGTGACTGAACAGGCGGTGGACACGCTGCAGGAGGAGAAAGACCAAGAACCTGCTGTAGGAGTGGAACGAAGTACGGCCGAGGCCGCGCGGCGACTCCAGACATAGCAGGGACAGCACCCTCAGCAGCAGCACCAGCGCCAACAGCACCTCCAGCGGCAGGACCTCCAGCAGCACCAGCAGCACCCGCAGCAGGACCACCGCCAGGAAGGACAGCAGCAGTCTCAGCACCAACACCCGCAGCAGCTCCAGCTCCAGGCGGACCCGAGGGCCCAGCAGCTCCGGGACCAGCGGCACAAGTACCCTCAGCAGCCGAAGGAGCTCCAGCTCCAGCAGTACGTCTCCAGCGGCGAGCAAACCACTCGCGCAGCTCCTGTGGAGAGAGGGGCTCCCGCCGAGGCGAAGCACCCGGAGAACCGCCAGGTCCCGCACCGCCAGACGCCACAAGGGGAGGTCCAGTGGCCGCAGGCTCCGCAGCTCCAGGCTCAGCAGCTCCAGACGCAGCACCCCCTGGCTCAGCACCCCCAGTCGCAGCACCCCCAGGCTCAGCACCCCCAGACTCCGCACCCCCAGGCTCAGCACCCCCAGACGCAGCACCCCCAGGCTCAGCACCCCCAGGCTCAGCACCCACGCGCGTAGCACCCCCAGAGTCAGCACCCCCAGGCTCAGCACCCGCAGCAGGACCAGAGTCACCAGCAACCTCGACCGGCTCGACTGCGTCTACCTGGGACACACCTGAAGGGGCAGGACCCTGAGGGGGAAGGGGGTCTACCGGGGGGGGACCTGGCACAAGGAAGTGCGGTGGCGGGGGAAGGGACGGAGTGCGGTAGGGGAAGAGGCGGTAGTAGGGGACCGACTCGTCGAACGTGACGTCCTGGAAGGACAGAACACGGCGAGAGGTGGGGTGGTAGAACTGCCACCCTGGGGCGTCAGGGGGGAAACCAAGGAAGACGCAAGGAGCAGCACGAGGGGACAGCTTGTCCGCAGACAAGTCGCGGACAAACGCCCGAGATCCCCAGACACGGAACGCAGACGCATCGCCGACCTTCCCCGTCCACAGCAGAGCTGGGGAGGTCTCCGGCCGGGAGACCGTGGGGTGAAGGTTGATCTGATGCGCCGCGTACCGAACCGCAAACGGCCACAGAAAATGGGGGGCAGCCGCATGCATCATGGACGTACGAGCGACGTCCATGACCATGCCAATGCGGCGCTCAGCAATCCCATTTTGCTGTGGAGAGTCCGGAAGCGTAAAGGTCTGGCGGATGCCTCGTGCACGACAGTAGGCTCGCAGAAGGCCAGAGGAGAACTCTCCACCTCGGTCAGA